TGTTTGTCATTGTACAATACATCTTTTGATTTCCTGACTAGTGATGCCAAAAGTGTTGTTTGTGAAACCAAGCAAGATGAAATCAACAATCTCAATCTCTGCTCCGTTCATCATTAAGCTGGCAACTGGCCCAGTGGTGAAAATCTTCATTCTCTTGATGTTAAATTTTAATCCATATTGAAGACCACAGTCCTTAACCTTCTGCAGCAAACATCTCATGTCCTCTTCAGTTTCAGCAAGCAAGGTTGTGTCATCTGTATAATGCAGGTTGTTGATGAATCTTCCTCCAATCCTGATACCATAGTCCCCTTCATAAAGTCCAGCCTCTTGAATGATCTGTTTGTTCTGCATAAAGACTGAAAAGGTATGGAGATAGGATGCATCCCTGACACACACCTTTCCTGAACCTGAACCATGCAGTGTTTCCCTGCTCTGTCTGACTACTGCTTCCTCGTCCAAGTATAGGTTTGCACGAGCACAATCAAGTGTTCTGGGATTCCCATTCTTCTCAAGGTCAGCCACAGTCTGTTGTGATCCACACAGGCAAATGCCTCTGCGCAGTCAATGAAACACAGCGAGGCATTCCTCTGGTACTCTCTGCTTTCAGCCAAGATCCATCTAATGTTTTCTATAATGTCCCTAGTACCATGGCCTCTTCTAAACCCAGCCTGCACCTCTGGTAGTTCTCTGCCGATGTACAATTTCAGTCATTTCTGGATGATCTTCAGCTGGGTCTGGAATGGAGTCCTGCTGGCATAACGCGGACCCTATCAGGTTGATAACTGAAGGTCAGTGGTTCCAAGTTGCTCCGTAAGAAAAAGATGGGTAGTTTCCTCCAATAAAGATTTAGAGTTTTAGATACTTGATGGAGGGTCACAATGAGTTGGTATCAATGACTATGGGTTTTTAAACAAAACTAAGAAAGCTATGATGCCAACTGATGAGACAGACACCTTGAAGAGCTGGTCTCTTTGTACAGAACATCAAGGTTCACTGCTGGTACCATTCAGACTGACTTAAAACAACAAAATCAAACAGTCTTACATAGCCAGACAGAGAGTCTTAGGCCTAAAAAAATACAGACATGGGTGTACTAAAAACAGACCATGTATCGTATTAAACAGTTAGAAAACGGTCTGGGAACCCCATTCAAAACTAAATTCCTAAAGTCATTAGCTCTTCATATAGCTGGGGGGGAACCAACCCTGCAAATAAGTCCTCATCCTTTTGCACTGCCCTTTCCTGTCTGCCATGTGACCCCAACAGGACGGAGAGCCAGCCTGGAGAAAGTGTGCCTTAATTCTTCTTTTAAGCTTGTCCACTGTACAGGGAGAAACCACCTTTACTATCCAAGCAGTGTGGACCACAGGAGGGAAAGACAGCCATTCACACTAAGACCCCTGGGTGACGTACAGCTCCTGATGCCCCTGCCAGGCGCCCAGACCTGACCTCTCCACTCTGAGGGCCTGCGCCTGCAGGTACAGAGCAGAAAGGGCAGCACGATGCGCCTCCAGGGAGAGGAGGCCGCCGCAGGTGTGGGGTCACAGGAAGGCAGACACACAGAGGCAGGGTTCTCCTTGCGAGTGCCATGAGGGCACAATCGCAGGCGGTTGCGCCCTGAAATCCCTAGAAGGACAGACTCACCTTTCTTCTGTGGAGCCCAGGCTCTCAATTTCATTAGCGACCTCTGCTATCTCATCCTTCAGCCTCTGCAAAGCCAACAGTCCACAGTTAGCAGGAGGAGACGGCACAGACCTTCCCGAAGTCTTCCCCTAACTCCCACTAACCCGGACACGACACAAATGAGGAAAAGGGAATCATCCAGAACGTATCAACCACGAGAAGGTGCCTGGTTAGCATAACTGTTTATACAGTTCCCTGCAGATACGAAGCAGTCCAGTCAGACCGGCCCAACAGCTGACCGGAGGCAGGTTTGCAGAGACTGTAATCTAACGGGAGGAGACTGCCCATCCTTCTCCTAATTCCTTACCACTCAGGCTGCCAGAGTGCTCTATTCAAGGAATTACAAAGGTGAAAAGACAGAGCTTCTGACATCACGGGATTTACGGTTTAGGAAAGCAAACGGCAATTATACACAGTGTCAGCGGAAAAGATCCTCCAGTCCACGGACTCGCACAGGAGTTCACGAGGGGCTGCACCCCGGCAGCCTGTCCGGCACAGACACAGGGTTCAGCGGGGTTTGGCTCTGCTGTACAGGGGCTGCTAGGAGTCCCTTAACCCAATGGCACCTAACTAACAACAACAGAAATGGATATTCAGCTAAAACAAAAAAAGGCTGCCTTCGTGCAGTCTGTAGGACCAAAGCTGCCTTCTACAGAAGACACCTGACAGAAGGGCCGGCTGAACTACGCGGCCTCCACGGACGCTGAGCCAGCACTGCCGCTTAGTGGCCAGTGAGGGAATGTGGGGCCAGGCCAAGGCCCTCCACTGTCGCCTGGCTTCCCCACGCAGGCTTTCCTCAGAACAGAATCACATCAGGAAAAAAAAATTAAAGATACACAGACGAGAGAGAGACAGACAGACAGAGAGAGAGACAGACAGAGAGAGAGAGAAAGAGAGACACAGAAAGAGAAAGAGAGAGAGAGAGAGACAGAGAGACAGACAGACAGACAGACAGAGAGAGAGAGAGAGAAAGAGACTCCCAGGCAGTCCTCCTCCTCCACAGTACTGCTAGGTGGTCAAGGGCTGCCCCTCCCTGAGCGCTCGAGGTTTTATCAAGAATTCCAGAACACATCTGCTGCACTAAGGGTCAGGATAAGTCAACTAACAAGTCTGTAACTTATCCCCTGTAAAGTCTGGCAGGTCTGAAACGGAGTTTAGAAAAATATTAAGTTACTGCTGCTGGAACATGTAGGGACCGCTGTAAATCAAGTTATTTACTCATGACAACAACCTCAGAGGTGAAGCAATGGAGACCAACAGTGCCTCTCAGTGGTCACTGGGCGGCAAGGATCCTGAGCCCCCAGCGTGCTCTGCACCGGCGCCGCTCGGGGACCGCAGAGACGAGACGCAGGAGGCACGAGCTCTGCTTCCAAGCTGCTGGACAACTGGCCAGCTGCAGCTCCTCGGAGCTCACACTGTCATGGAAGCAGAGGTGGTCACCAGCCCCAGCCGGGCTGGCGGCGGCACGGAGGGCGGCTCAGGTCTCCCACGGGTGGACTGTGCCCAGTCAGCTGTGGGGAAGCCCAGGGCCCTGCCGTCCACCCACCTGTATGTCGGCCAGCAGCTCCTGCTTCCGCCTCCGGATGTTCTCCAACTCTTGCCTCTCCTCTGGTGTCAGGTCACTGGGAACTGCAACAAGAGAGGCGCGTTAGCAAGCACGCCTTCCTCCCACCAGAAACACAGGGGACCAGCTTCAGAGACCAGCGACAGCCAGGAGGCTGTGCGTGCTCGGACATGGCCGCAGCTGGGAGGGCCGGGCAGGACGGGGCCACTGTGACTAGACACACACAGCGCCCAACAATCGCGACTCCCCACCAGGATCACCAAGGAAAAGCTCTCAGGAAAGAACACCTGGAAGGGAGGGGGGGAGACCACCTGGGCTCGAGTGAGACCTCCCTCCTTGGCCAGTGCCCTCCTCGCCGGGGGAGGCCCGGGACTGCCTCACAGAGCCCAGCTCTACGGGGAGGCGAGTTACCCACACGTTCCAGGAGACCAAGAACAGCCTGCCCGTTCCGCGGGGGAAGGAGAATGCACACTGACAGAGAGAAATCTAGAAGGCTCTGCGCCAAGCTTAGCTCGGCCCTGGAACGTGAGGACCCTTCTTTCACGCCTTAACCCCCAACACACACAGTTGGAACAATGGTCTCTGGTGAGTTCCTGCGTTCAGCTGAGTGACTCCGTTCACGGTCTCCCTGTGAGAAGAACGCAGCCCAGGGGCTCTGCTCTCCTGCTCACGGCCAGAGTGAGGGGCCTTCTTTGTCCAGCGAGCTGAGTCGGAGCGCACCTGTGATGGCGGACCACTAGCCCCAAGCAGGCCCCGGTGATGCACCTGAGACGTGAGCAAGTACCCAAGACGGAGACACACACCAGACCTTGTCCTAGCGAAGGAAAACGTCACTGATGTTATATACGGATTAGACACTGGAGGGAGCCCTGCCTGGGGGGGAGCACTGGCCAAGTCAAAAGGTCCAGAGTTCGACCACCACCAGCAGGTTCCTCAGGACAAAAGACCTGGAGACGTGCTCTCACAAAAACTACGGGCAAATTTCAGAGGCCAGTGACTGCAATTGAGGAAGGGGAGCTGCGAGAAAAGTGGCCCACCTCAAAGAATGCAATCATTATCACCAACTAAGTGCCGTCAAATAAAGTACCGCTCATGCCACCTATGGACACCAGACCCTGCCCTGCCCTGCGCCCTCAGTGGCCTCCTGTCACACCAGAGCCCAGTTACAGTGACTGTGTCAGTCCTCCTTGCTGAAGGTCCACCCCCACAACCTTCCCAAGCACGATGTCTTTCTCCAAGGATTATTTCTCAACAAAATACAAGTAGAAATGGTGTGTTTTGCGTTGTGTATTCTCAAAAAATTAAAGGAGAAGAAATTATAGACAAGAAAACTGTCGGAGACCACTCCACTCTGTCACATAAGGTCCCTACAAGTCAGGATCGACTCAATGCCCCCCCACACACAGATGGAGCCAGTGATAATTAGTGCATCAGATTACAGAAAACGATGGTTTTATCCAAGTTCACAGGGACTGCTATTAGCGGACACTGCCTTTGCAGCTCACCCTGTTTCTACCCAACAGTGCAGGGCAGGGGTGTCACCACATCACACCTGTCACCTGTACAGGAGGTCGTCCCCGCCACACTGAGCAGCTTTCACTACCCTGGCATTTCACAATCTGAGAGTGGAGGTGTTAGGCCACAAACAAGCCTCCACAGGAGTGAAGACCCCTGGGAAAAACTCATTCTCCCTCTCGCCAGCTTCCCCTGAGCCGTCTCCAGAAAGTGCCCACAAAGCTTGTCCGAGACTCAGAAGTGCACGTCTCAAAGCCCTGTCCTCTATCCTCCACCTCAGAGGCTGCAGCTCCTCATGGGAAATGGACTGATGGTTCGAAGTCTGAGTCCTTCTCTAGAGACTGGAAAACTTCCTTCTCTGTGAACCCCAGGACTCCAGAAGAACCCTCAAAGCCCACGTGGGTTCTCCTCTCTAGGGGACCCTCAGCCGTGTCTCCTGCAGATGCTGGCTCCTCTTAACCACTAAGGGGCTGGGTGAAAAGCCCAGGAGCCACCTGGGCTGACAAACTGACCCTTCTAGACAAAGCCACTCTGAGCCCAGCCTGAACGTCACTGACAAATCCCAACCTGAGAGAAAGTGCTCCAAAGAGGCCACTTCAATACCAGAAAAATACCAGACTATCCCACGACCTCAGGGCACCCTCGGGGCCTCAGTGCTCACCTGTACCCACCTTCCTCATCTCCAAAAAAAAAAGTTGGGACACTCTTACAAAAGACTTGAAAATAAGAATAAAAGCAACTTTAAAAAAAAACCAATTAATGGAAATCTTGAATTAATTTTTAAAAAAATTATTATTTTTTTAATCTCAGAGAGATTAAAGTAAAGATTTAGGCAGCAAGAACTGGAGAAGACCGTCCACATCTCCAGTGTTCCCGAGGTGGTGGGGCCCTGACTACCCAATGAGAAGCCATCTGGCCCCACATTTTTCAGAGATGCTGGAAGGCCACAACTCAAGTCTCCTGATACGGAAGGAAGACGTGGCTACAGGGAACTGAGAACAACCCACAGCTGTTTCACACACACGCAGGCCACACCTACCCACACGGCCACTGCCACATACACGCACAAGGGTCATACACTCACACTCAGGGCCTCATGCCTACAGGACTGCACACTTACAGTGGCACTCACACAGGTCTCACGCCCACATGGCCACAGACGAGGACGGGACATTGACATAGCTTGGTAGGAGACAGGACCCTAAGAATACCCTCACAAAAAAGGAAACAGAGTCCAAACACAAGAACCAACAAGGAAGCAGTACAGACATCTGTACTGAAGATAGTATTTGATGTTCTCTCAATGAGAACAGGAGGCCGCTGGAAACAAGAAAAACCAAAGGAAACCATGCCATCAAGGAGGAAGGTCACAGAGCAGGCCGTCCTGGGAGCAGAAGGTCCACTCGATCATGATGCTGGGCACAGTGTCCTCTGAGCGGGAAGGACCCACACTTGGCCCAAGCTGAGTCCCCGTCACCCTGTTCCAGGGCTGCCTGCTGGCCTCTGTCAGAACCAGCCCAGGTTGAAGAACATCAAGTGTGTTGTCTACTCTGATCTGCACGTGGGAGGCAGGAACGGGCCTGAGTGGAGGAAAGAGTGCTCAGGAAGTCAGGAGGGATTGTCAGAAGACAGATGATGGAAGAGAAATGGATGTCTTAAATATACTAATGGAGGTTTCCTTTTTTTTTTTTTTTACATTAACACTTTATTTCCTGTTTTTGAATGTAGAGTTAAAAGGCATCAACATACAGATATTCCAATGGTTCTTTACACATTTTCTCTCCTATCTAAAGTCAGGGATTTTTTTTTTAAACTATGAGATGAAGAAAATCATCCCATTCAAATGGCAACACCTCTCAAGACTGTTTCCAAGGAGAAAACAGAGGAACCCAAAATCGCGACAAAGCGGTCCAAAGGGACAGGCAGGAGCGGTGAAAGAGGACTGTGCCTTCATGCACCTCCAGAGAAGTCAGGAGATTATCCTGCATGTGGACCGAATGGCCACAGACATCAGAAGATTCAACATGAACTGGGCAGTGCCTACTAGAAGATCCAAACCCAGAAAAAGTTCATTTGAGGAGAGGGGTCTAGGAAGAATGGGAGGTAACGGGCTTAAGAACTCCAGAGTTGCTCTGCCTTTTTAAAATTTAAACACACACACACCCCTCCATCCCCCACGCCAAATCCGTGTATTTACTACTGACATTTACAAATGGGCCAGGGGTTAATAAGGGGAGCTCTGGTGGCCTAGTGGCAAGATGCTGCACTGCAGTCCCAGAGGCGCACGGTTCAAATCCACCAGATGCTCTGCTGGGAAAGGAGGGACAATCTCCTCCTGTACCAGTCAGATCCGATTTGACGGTACACACACACACACACACACACACTAATAATAATAATAAATAGAAAACAACAACAACAACAACAACAACAACAAATGGGCCAGGGCAGAAGGAGACTTGTTCTGGGAGGGGACTCTCACCTACTTCATATGCCAGTGTTGGGGGAAAGGTGACATCCGCACACGGACAGGGCTTGTATCTGTGTCAGTTTTTCTGCACTGCCATCAGGGTTAAACTGGAGCTCAGCCAGATGGCAGAGCAACAAACAACTCTTTCTCATCCAGTGAAGCTGCCCCCACGCGCCTGCACAGGTCAAGGAGGTGGGGGTCCTGGTCTCTTTAAGAGCACCATCTCTAGGGAGGGCAGCAGATTCACTGTGGTGCCCCTGCCACCGGCCTGAGCACAAAAGGGGTGGGGAAATAGCTTCCCACGGGCAGCTGTGGTGTTGGAGAAGAACACTGAACATCCCATGGACGGCCAAAAGAGCAAATAAACAGATCCTGGAGAGGGTGCAGCCGGAGTGCTCTTTGGAGGCAAGGACGATGAGGCTTTGCCTCACATACTCTGGGCATGCTGCTAGGAGAGACAATTCCTTGGAGAGGGACATGATGCTGGGAAGGGTGGAGGGTCGGTGAAGGAGAGGAAGACCCTCAACCAGGTGGAATGACACGGTGACTGCTGCAGTGGGCTCTACTGTGTCAGGAATTGCAAAGATGGCACAGGACAAGACAGGGTTCATAGGGTCAACGGCACCTGACACATCAACAATGGGCAGGCGGTCACCCCTCCAACCTGTTCAAGAGAAGGCAGACCCCAAGATGGGTCGAAGGAATTCCTCCTGCAAAGGGTCATTTCCAAGGTCTCCTGCTTACAGCCAAGGGGGCAGCCTAGCCCTTCCTCTCCAGAGTGCCTTCAAGCACAAGGGGCCTTTGTGCTGGTGGGCGCAGCGGAGCCACGCGAGGGCAGCTGTCGGCTCTTTATTTGGCTGAGGCCCTGCAGCTTTGAGCAGCAGCCCCGGACACAGTGTGCACAGGGCATACAAAGGAGGACTGTCTCAAAGGGCCGCATCCCCGCGCTCTTCCAAGGCACTGTGCAAAAGCACATGGTGGGCTTCTGTCCTCCAAGCCTGGCCGCCACAGAGCCCGAGGCACAGCCGCTGGGCTCTGGGGGAGAGGCTTCTGCTCTGCAGCAGCGCCAGAGAAGACAACCCTCGTGGTCACAGACCCATGAAGCACCCCTGAGACACTGGCCTAGGGGCCTAGTGGCAAGAAGCTGTGCTGCAACCCCGAAGGCAGTGGTTTGAACCCACCAGCTGCTCCAAGGGATAACAATGGGCTTTCCCCTCCTGTGCGATTAACCCCTGAAAACCTGCTGTGGGGTCAGCCATGGGTCGGTTCCGACACAACAGTGCACAAGAACAAGACAGTACCTTAGCCACCCTCCAGGCCACAGAAGCCTCTGCTTAGAGGGGATTAAATCAGACTTCCCACCATGATGCCCTTAGCTGACCTCCAGTGGTTAAAGGGACCATGCTGGGCTCATAACAGCAGGGAAGCACTTAGCCAGTGGCAAGGAAGTGGAAGGAAGTGTGGGAAGGTTATACTGAAGGCAAAGACTCAAAGGCAAAGCCAAATCCAGAAACTTCCCATGTGTGAAGCCCAGGAATTGCCATCGCTAGTGTGGGTTGGATCTCTGTCTTGCTTTGAATCCTCTGACCGTCAGCAAATCCCTGAACACCTGATTTGTGCTCATGCGAAACCTACACTTGGACCAGGAGACAGTCATCAGAAGAGGGCAAGGAAACGGCATGGTTCAAAATCAGAAAAGGTGCATCAGGGATGTGTTCTGTCTCCACACCTTTTCAATCTGTGTGCAGAGCAGATTATTTGGGAGGCTAGACTTTAAAAGGAGGAATGTGACATCAGGATTGGAGGAAGACTCATCAAAAACCTGCTTTATGCAGATGACACACCTTGCTTGCCGAAACTGAGAAGGATCCGAAGTGCTTGCTGCAAACTGGAGTCTTCAATATGAACTGAAGTTCAACATCAAGAAGACAAAGATTCCCACCACTGGGTCAACTGGCAGCACCGCAACAGATGGAGAAGAGATTGAGGTTGGTAACAATTTCACCTTGCTCAGCTCCATAATCAAGAAATCAAAAGATGAAATGCAGTGGGGAAGCCTGCTGTCAGGGACCTCTCCAAATTACTAAAGAGCAATGGTGTCAGGCTAGAAACTAAGGTGCGCCTGATCCAGGCCATGGTCTTCACAATTACCTGCTATGTGTCAGAAAACTACACAATGACTAATAAGGATAGAAAAAGAATTAATTCCTGTGGTGCTGGAGAAGAGTACTGAGCATACCATGGACTGCCAGAACAAACAGATCTGTGCTGGAAAGGATGAAACCAAGTTTCTCCTTGGAGACAAGGATTCTGAAGCTCTGTCTCACATACTTTGGGCACATGGCCAGGAGGGACCAGTGGTTGAGGAAGGACAGTGCAGGAGAGGAAGACCCTAGATGAGATGGATTGACCTAGTAACTGGGATAATGGAGGGGAGATCTATAGAAATCAGTGACATTGGATAGTGCAGGGTTCAAAGCTATCATACACAGGGTTGCCATGAGTGACAGGCACATAACAACAAAGACTCAAAGCAGGGAACAAACCCCCTGTCAGACTGCACCAGTGGAGAGCTCAAACACAGCTGCCCCTTTCCCACCTGCTCCTCTCCCAACCAGCCCTCTCAGAAACCACTGACGAGAAACTACCTGTTCAGGTAACGACCAGACTGCTCCACCTGAAAAGCTTCGATGCAAAGTTCATTGACAGAGGGCTGAGTACATATGAAAGGCTGCACATGTGTTCCTGCCCACACAGGCCGGCACGCACCTGTGTGGACCAACCCTGCACACAATGACCATTCATTTCTCCCTCAAGACCCAAGAGGAAATCCTGGGGACTTGTCATCTGGGAAACCCCAGAAAGAGCACTGGCGAGCGAGGAGCCTCGCTGGGCCTCACGTGTCCCCCATTCGCTGTCAGCCCAGTATGATACCTGGAGAAGAGGTAAAGCACATGACCAGGTGCCCATCAAGCCCAGGGCTCTTTCTGATCTCTGCATGTCTACCTCATCTTCCCTTTCCAATCAATGCCTTTCAACTGTGTTAGCACTGACTTGTTCAAAATATATTGAATCCCCAACAGGTAGAGGGCAGATCATGGCAAAACCGTGTGCAGACCCACCCCAAGGGCACAAACCATATTCTCTGCTTCCTGCTGGGCCCTGCACTTGAGGGTAGGGGTCTGACCCAGCCCACACTTAGCAG